CGTTGGTCTATAGACCAAATAAAGTTTTTTAAACAAGATGAAAACATAATTTCAGTGTTTTCGGAACCTAAATGTCCCAAGAAAATTAATTTACGAATATATCGATACAAGGTTCAAGAACTTAAAATTTCCAAGATTATATATATATTGGCAATCTAGCCAGCTATAATATGTCTTCTATATGATCAGTAAAAATTAATATTATTGCTTTATCCACAACGAAGTTACAGGGTGGTCAAAAGTGCCGCTAATACATTCGAGAAAAGGATGGTACGGCTGTGCTTTGGCTGTGCTCGACTAGGCCACTAACGTGCGCCTAGATAATATAAAGTGATAAAAATTCGAAAAACTTACTGGAAAATACCATTAATTTACCACTGAGCACTACAAATCTTATATTTTTCTAAATATGTACCGTGTGTTAATCAAATATTTTACTACTGAATCACATATGAGATGAAACTGTAAATTTGTGTGATCCAAATAGAGGATTTACACTAACTAAGAAAAGAATGTTTGTTACATAATATTTGATATTATTAATAATGTAATATTATAAACATATTACGTCATTTTTTTGTTAATTGCCGTCTAAATCAAAGTTGATAAGACAAATATTCAGCGCAAACAATAAGTCTTTCAAATTGCTTTAAGGTTTAATAGAGGAGATTAGTTATAATGTAACACAATAGAAAATAATTTCGCCATTGTGTGAGGTCAAATCAATAGATATCGGTAACAAAGAGCGCCGATATTGCTTATAGCAAAAAAACAAATCAATTTAAATGAGGCTGTTTTGTAATAATAATCAAATCGGTACCACTGACGTTCATATCCATTTTAATATGGATTTATATTGTTGAGATTACAAACCAAAGACATTAAAAAGATAGACCGAACATGTCATTCAGAAATGCTCCTTTCTTGTGTATCAAACGGTTCAGGTACTCTGATCAAACATTCAAATTATTTCCAATGTGTCAAACAAAGACAGAAGAGACAGAGAACTCTAAAATTTCCGATCAAGGTAGCTACACGCTTCTGGGTTGCTTTTTTGAGAAGTATACAATATTTAAAAAATAAAATCAATTTGCTTCAACCGTCCCCATGCCCGGGATGGTATTATTATTTTAATCAGTCTTCAGTATTTTAATATAGATACAGATAATTACTGTAATTAGTTTTTGACAAGTAAAAAACATTTAAGTAAGTAAAGTGAAAAAAAACAAGTAAGAGAATTAAGTAAAACATGTAAGAAAAATAATTAAAATCTACAGTATTGTTTAAGAGAAAGCTACTAACAAAATTAATTTTAAACTAAAAAAAACCGCTTTATTGTACAAAACGCCAAAACAGCTTCATCGACAAAGCATTCACAAAACAAAAAAGCACAAAAACAAATATACAAATAATAAAAAAAAATGTCATACAATACAAAGCAATTCAAAAAATTTACGTCATAAAATTACAAATAAAACATATATGGACATTGCAGAACACAGGCGTACCTAGAAAATTTTACAAAAGGAAAACTGTAAATGGATAAAATCATGTTATATATCATAAAATCAAGAGTTATAAAATATTGAATATTAAATACTAGACCTTTAACCAGTGTGTGAGATGATCAAAATTTTTAAATTCAAAATTGTTCATGATTAAACATCAACAAAAAAGTCGTTTACCGCATATAGGGCTCTCTCTAGCAAGTATAATTTCAGAGCTTTGCGAAATGCGGGAAAGAATGAAAGTGACTTGATATTCGAAGGCAAATGATTGTACATTTTCTTGGCATTGTACAGTATTGAGCCCTTAACTAGTTCTGAGCTTGGGGTTGGCAGATAAATATCGTGCTCCGCATTCCTAAGTGGATAGTTGTGAGAAGGCCTTTCCGGAATAGAGAATATGAGCTTGCGGTTTAAGGAAACGGATTCAAAAATGAATAAGGAAGGAAGAGTCAGTATTTTGAAATTTTTAAAGAAATTCTGGCAGTGAGTTCTACTGTTTAGTCCCAATAAGTATCGAACTGCTCTCTTTTGAAGTTTGAAAATACGATCAAATTTTTTCGCGCAGCAAGTACTCCAGAATGGAAGGGCATAACGAAGATGCGACTCAAAAAGGGCATAATAGACCATTCTAGAGGTTGATGATGGTATGGTAGATGATGGTAGATGGTTCCTTAGAAACTGATCTTAGCGCAAAACAGGCAGAGCTTAGTTTCTTTGATAAGGCTTCGATGTGCAAGTCCCATTTTAACGAGTTGTCTACAACAAGTCCTAAGAATCTCACAGAGTCCACGACGTCAATAGTGGTGTTATTAAGTACAAAGGGCTTTTATATGACAAAACTTTAGTTTTTGAAAGGTTAAGGTATAGGAGATTAGAATCGCACCAAGATTTAATGGTGCGTAAGTCATTGGATATAGTATTATATAGTGCCGTAACATCTGGGCCGCTCCAAGTGAAACAAGTATCGTCCGCAAAGAGGCAGATTTTACCGCTAATGTCTAGATTTGCAATGCCGTTGATAAACACCAGAAATAAAATAGGGCCAAGTACTGAACCCTGAGGGACACCACATTCTATAGGCTTACAAGAAGACATAGACGTATCAATCCTCACATGCTGCCTTTTGTTGCCAATATACGACTTAAGCCATTCGAGCGGCACTCCCCTGAATCCATAGTATTGCAATTTGTTAATTAAGATATTATGATTTACACAGTTAACACAGTCGACAGCCTTAGAGAAATCACAGAAAATTGTAGCTGTAGAGTGATGGTTATGCAGGCTACAGTATACATTATTAAAAAGGTCGAACATAGCATCATTTGTGCAACTGTTACTTAGAAATCCAAATTGATGGGTAGAAAGTACTTTATATTTAAGGAGAAAAGATAGAAGCCTTCTTTTAACCAATCTTTCAATGATCTTAGATAATGTGGGCAGGAGAACTAAACTAAACGGAAAAATTTCAACAATCAAACATAAATCAACTACTATTATTTACTGTTTCAACCGTCCCCAAACCTAGTTCATTAACAATTTCTTGAAAAACACTGTATATAGTAAAACACAATAGGAATTCATATCGCTATGAAAAGAAGTCAAATCACAAATTGTCGGTCACAACAAAGAGTGTGCCGCCATTTTATATACTATAAAAGATAACATGAATTACGTGGATTTGTAGAAACAATCCAATCTGGTATATTTAATAAAAGAAAAACAAATTAAAAAAATATCGGTAGTTAATTATTAATATCAAAAACTATTAAAAAGCTTAATTCATTCCTTTTAATGAAGAGGTTAATGACACAACGATTGTTTTTTTTTAATTTGATACTTATCTTATTACAATCTTATTATTTTTAGATGTTTAAGTTTCACATTAGCGTAACTAGCAATTTATCCTGGGGTGGGCCTGGGGGGGGGGGTCCTGGGGCTGCGCCCATGGGGGGCCTAGGGCTTTTGTTTTTTTAAAAATGAAAACTAATTTTAAAAACAAATTTATAGAATAAAACGTTTACATGAATTTCTCTATCAATAAATCTCATAGACTTGGTTATCAAACCGTGTTCCCGTAGATTACTTAAATAACTACAAATTTTCTAAAAAAAATAAAAATTAACACATTTTTTGAACATAACAAAATAATATTAACTAAACAAAACTAGAAAACGTCATTTTTACTGCATCACAACCAAATAGAAATTAATACGTAGCCAAGAGTCATAATTCAGGATTCCTCTGGGGTGGGGGGGGCGGCACCCGCGGTCGCCCCTGTAGTTACGCCAATGGTATTTCATTAAAAACGTAGCTCCATTTATGGGGGAGTAAAAATTTTCGAAAAATAGCTCCAAAAATATTCTATTCACTCAAGACTAAACGTACTACATGATATTATGTTATTTGAAAAAAATAAAAAACCAAAAACTAAAAATATACTCTGTACAGGGCGAGTCTTAAATAAGTGCAAATAATTTCAGTGGTAGTATATTTCGACCCCAGAAACACGATTATGAGGTTTTTTTCACGAAAAAAAAAATTGAAAATTGGAATTTTTTGACGTAAAGGAAGTTTTTAGGCAAAAATCATAATTTCTTGATAATTATCACCACATTAATATGGCAACATAGGTAGTAGATTAAATTTACAAGAAAGAAAACCCAGAAAAGATTAATGTTTCTCAAAATTTAAGCAAAAAATCATTTTTTTTTTGGAAATTTTCAAAGTAAAATAAGTCGGTTATTTTGGACTTATTTGAAAAACGACAAAGAGAAAATATGTTTCTTTTATCGAGATCTACCAGCCCTGAAAATATTTGCACTTATTTAAGACTCACCCTGTATAATTAACATTCCCTATGCATTTTTTCAAATCCTATTGAGATGAATCAAAAAAATTATCGAGAAAAGATATACCTCGATGATAATTAATTTTTGAATTCCTTACTTCGTTAACATATTCCGCAGGGTGTTTGTTCTCCCTATATAATTGACAGATGGGAATTTAAATTTAACCTAAAGCTAAAACGAGTTTTTTTTTGGAAAACTCCCATTTATTAGTTGACGTTTAATAGACTCTAATCAGAAAAATAAATTAAATGTCTCCTTGAATTCGAAACCCATGGAATGTTTACACAGATATTTTCAGTTTACGCTCTCTTACAATAAATATTTTAATAAGTTTTCCGGGATACAAAGAAACACGTATTATATATTTTTGTAAAGCACATGTTATATCTAACATTTATGTTGTCAACATAATATAAACTTTAGCTGTTCTTTATATAGATCCGTGTAAACCAGGCTTCTACAGAACGGTGTTTTTATTAGGTAATAAAGGATTTTAGTCCTTGATATTCAGTCACGATTTTTTTAATAACGTGTTTTTTGACCTCTAGATTACCCATACTTTAATTTATTTTTAATATTATACAAGGGATGACTTATATCGATAAATTTTACTAGTACTAAAAAAATGGCAAGCCTACCTTACCAAAATTTATTCCCACAAATCTGACAACAACATATAGAGCCAAAGTGTTGCTACTGTGACACGACACACAACTTACTGACTCTGGCTTGCCAAACGAGACTATATATGTAGATAGCTGGAGTGATATTTATCTCTATTCCACGCATACACTACTTTACTACTTGCACTGTGCTTTGCTCAACGATCGATGGTACCAAGACCAAGCAGGAAATCTAAACGAAGGTCATAGATTAATAGGAGAGGCGTAGTCCAAAAGAGGTCCGTTTTACACTGTGTCACATTATAACAAAATTAGATAATAGAAAAAATATCACTCGGTATATAGGGCCTACCAGTGAGAATCATATACACTGTACTATTAAAAAACTCTTTGAAAAATTCCTTATACAAAAAATATATAAACATTTTTGTGCGATGCAGTAAAAGTTCTTAGTGAATTTGTATTGTAACATCTCAAGTTATTTTAACAACTTTAAAATCTATATCAATATACAGGGTGAGTTTCCTACGATGTTCTCTATGGGCAACTCGGAAACTACTGGAGATAGAGAGTCGGTTAAATGGGGAAAGAATTGCAGTTTTGTGGGGTCATAAATATGCGCCTTTCAGATTTTTGAAAAAGTTTATGGCTTACTAGATATTTCGAAAAAAACAAATTTTGGCTATTTTAAAAATTGTCTCTAATTCCATTATAATCTATTTTAGACAAAAAGTGTTCAGATAAAAGTTGTAGATAATCACATTCTTAATGAGTTTGTGTTCTCCGATTTTTTCTAAAGCCTGTCATTTTTGACAGATGACAAACATGTGTTTTTTTAAATGGAAACCATAGTTGGCCATGACTTCATAAAAAGCGCCATTTTTTAAGCTTTTCAGCGATATAAGCTATAATATGTTTCTTTCACAAAATTACTGAGTTATAGCCAATTCTTATCTTTCTTGACTAATTTCACTTAGTTAGCCATGGAAACAAGTTCAATCGTCGTTGCTCTTAGAAATATGAAATTATCATATTCAATCTTTGCGAATTAAAATAAACAAAAATTGTAAATAAGAGTTTTTCAAATGAAGAAAAGCGTGTAGGATTATTGGTTCAACTTTTTTTAGCCATACAGTTTCGAGGATACGTTAACCAGTGAAAGTTATTTACGTTTTTTAGAGAACGGTTTTCAATGGTGTTCTAATTTTGTTATGATTTATTACTTATTAAAAGACAAAATATATTATTAATCTATATTATAAAGTTATTTTAGAAAATTTTCAAAAATTCCGCAATTGTTTTGAGTACATAAATAGATCTTTTTAAAACTGAATTTCTAGCTATTCTCCCAGAACGACCGGTCGACTTAATTAAACTTCTCCTGTTCCGCCTCTTGGAGTGCCTCTCTTAATTCATAAGTTCTTCTGTAAACCTTGTTGTTAACCATACCGCATAAAAAAATCTAAAATGGATAGGTCAAGTGACCAAGGAGACCCATGCAATTTGGTCCACCTCTTTATATCCCTGAGTCTAGATAATTATGATATAAATAATTTTTAACATTTCTTTCATTGTGTGTTTGTGGGGGGGGGGATTGGGGTTGGTGTGTCATAATGAAAGTCATGTTGGAACCACTCTGTTAATGGGCGAGTATTAATAAATTTAACTTTTCTAACATGTCTTGAAAACCTTTCTCTACAAAACGGTCAACGTATCCTCGAAACTGTATGGCCAAGAAAAGTTGAACCAATAATCCTACACGCTTTTCTTCATTTGAAAAACTCTTATTTACAATTTTTGTTTATTTTAATTCGCAAAGATTGAATATGATAATTTCATATTTCTGAGAGCAACGACGATTGAACTTGTTTCCATGGCTAACTAAGTGAAATTAGTCAAGAAAGATAAGAATTGGCTATAACTCAGTAATTTTGTGAAAGAAACATATTATAGCTTATATCGCTGAAAAGCTTAAAAAATGACGCTGTTTATGAAGTCATGGCCAACTATGGTTTCCATTTAAAAAAACATATGTTTGTGTCATATGTCAAAAATGACAGGCTTTAGAAAAAATCGGAGAACACAATCTCATTAGGGATGTGAATATCTACAACTTTTATCTGAAAACTTTTTGTCTAAAATAGATTATAATGGAATTAAGGACAATTTTTAAAATAGCCAAAATTTGTTTTTTTCGAAATATCTAGTAAGCCATGAACTTTTTCAAAAATCTGAAAGGCGCTTATTTATGACCCCATAAAACTGCAATTCTTTCCCTATTTAACTGACTCTCTATCTCCAGTAGTTTCCGAGATACCCATAGAGAACATCGTAGGAAACTCACCCTGTATAAAATCTTTAAGTGACTGACATACTAATTAATCACGATCCTGCTCAAACCACTCAACGTAAGAAGCTCAATTTTGGCATACAGGTTGATTCTAGGGTGTAGAGGTTCGATAAGGAGGGATTTTTCGAAATTCCAGTTCCAAGAGGGTGAAACCACCCCTCATATATTACAATATTTTTTATTTAAAAAACGGTCAAGTTTCCGAAAAAACGCTTAAACACATATATTTTATTTTGTTTTTTTACATATTTTAAGATTTTTTAAAAAGGTATACAGGGTGTTTCGAAAAATCTGGTCATTGATTAATCACGATCCTAATTAAAGCGCTAGATGTAAAAAGCTGATTTTTGGAAAACAGATTGACTTTAGGGTGTAGAGGTTCGATAAGAAGGGATTTTTCGAAACTCGAATTCTAAGGGGGTGAAACGATCCCTCAAATATTAAAATATTTTTTATTTAAAAACCGGTGAGTTTTTCGGAAAAACTCTTAAACACGTATATTTTATTTTGTTGTTTTACATATTTTAAGATTTTTTATAAATTTATACAGGGTGTTTCGTAAAATATGACCATTGAGTAATCGCGATTCTGCTTAATCTGCTTGACGTTTAAAGCTGATTTTTGGCAAACGGATTGACTGTGGGGTGTAGAGGTTCGATAAGGAGGGGTTTCTCGAATCTCAAATTCCAAGAGGGTGAAAACGCCCGTCAAATATTACAATATTTGTTATTTAAAAAACGGTTAGTCGTTCGGGAAAACGCTTGGACAAGCATAATTTATTTGGTTTTTTTACATATTTTGAAGTTTTTTAAAAAATCATACAGGGTGTTCCAAAAAGTTGGGTAATTTCTTAACCACGATTCTGCTTAAACTGCTTGACGTAAAAAGCTTATTTTTGGCAAACGGATTTTTCGAAAGTCAAATTCCAACGAGATGAAACTACCCCTCAAATATTACCAAGTTATATAATAATATCGCCATATTGTTTTTTCTCATGCTGACATAAATGTGAGAAAATTTAATCCAGTTTGTATGTTAATGGAAATTCTTGCTTTGCTTTATCATCACCATTACAAATGATTAATTCGACGCGAACGAAGTCGCTGGTACCACGCTAGTGTATTATAAAAATCTATTAAAACAATATAAATAAGTACATTTTGCAAAAAAGCCAATTAATAGTATTTATTTTCTTTATTATACACTTTATTAAAATTACTAAAGTTGGCAAAAATTTAATTTAATACCAAAAATTTCCTATACAATATATACAGGGTCGCTGATATGTATAGAAACGATCGATTATTAGGTAAAATATACAAAGTACCGCAAAAAGTTAAATAAAAAACTTATAGGGTTTTTAAATGTCTATTATTCAGTAGTAAATTTAAGTATACAGGGTCGGTCATAAAGTTGTGGCACATCAAATTTTATTTTTTTAAATCCAATCCCTTGTATATTATTGCATATTTCAATTCTTCATACAATGTTAAGCAAAAATCGTAATATATACCTAAATGATTTTGAAATGTTAAACGAAAATTTCTAGACTTGATATAATCTCATTTTATACATCTATAAATGCTAACTTGAGAACTAATGTTAAATATTATTAAGTATCAGTTACCGTAGAATGGCATCGTTAAATAAAACTGAACACATCGAAATTAATTAAATCGAATTGTTTAAGTGATATTTTCGTCAATAACTCGGAAACCCTTGGTTTGAAGTACATTGTGTGTATCTCGATTTTTGCTTAGAATTGAAGGAAGAATTGAAATATGCAATAATATACAGGAGGTTCCATTTAAAAAAATAAAACTTTGATGTGCCACGACTTTATGACCGACCCTATATACTTAAATGTAATATTGGCCAATTGGTATTTAAAAACCCTATAACTGTTATATTTAACTTTTTGCGGTACCTCGTATATTTTACCTAATACTCAACCGTTTCCATACATTTCAGAGACCCTGTATATATTTTTTACAATACATTTTGCAAAGAAATCAGTCAACTTATGAAATAACTAAAGTTGGCAAGCATTTAAATGACACACCCATTGTTATCGGTTTTTGCGCCATTGTCATTATCAATTTTTATGATAAAATTTATGATTTTTATATTTCTAAATCTTGTATTGTTAAATTAAAAGAATAATAATTGTTCTGTTTAGTTTATGATAACATTTGAGAATTATTCTCAGGTATAGAACATAAAAGTAAAGGTAATTTTTGAAAGGTATTTAAAAAAAAAGAAAGATATAACTATTAGCCTTGTATAAGGCTATTAGGTACATTATATTAACAATCCGCAAATAAATTTGATTAAAAATAAAATTCTACAATTTCTGAAATACAATTAGGCGCGGTTGTACAAACATAGCTTAACCACGCTTAACGTTCACGTGTTCAGGGTGTCAATTTTCGTGTTTCTCGTTTTTATGAAACAAGAAGGTGATGTTTTCACATCAATATGCTACATTTTTTATGAAACTAAAGATGCTACACACATATTTGTCCTAGACCCCTTGGTTTGTGGAATACAGAGTGAATTTGAAAATTTTGCATAAAGACTATGTTTTTTATAATTTAATTACAAATATTATAGTTTTCGACTAAAAATATATAGTTCCCAACTGGCAAAGGAGTACGACAGGGAGACGCGATATCCCCAAAGCTGTTTACAACAACATTAGAACAAATCTTCCATCAACTGGACTGGACCAACAAAGGATTAAAAATAGATGGAGAATATCTTAACTAGCTAAGATTAGCTGATGACATAGTCCTAATTGTCAATAGTCCTGCAGAACTACAAGCAC